CCGATACATTTCGGTTTTTGTGTTCGTGTGTAGAGATTACTACTCTCTTTTTATTTATTTATATCCTTTGTTACTGAAATTTTGTGTATTTTTGATGGATGTTAGACTTACATGGATGAGATCAAGGCTTTGGTACAGCACAATCGTCACCGTCTCATTGTTAATGTCTCTGACATTCATACCCACTTCCGTGATTCTGCTTCTAGGTCAGTCACCTTCTCAAATCTCTTCTCGATTACTGATTCGTATCCTTCTCTAGGTACAAGGTTAATGCTTTGGTCAATTTTAGGGTTTTTATTAATTCTTGGTATTGCTTATGCCCAGATTCACTCATGTGAATTTGGGGATTTCATACGAAATTGGGATTAGAAAAAAACCCAATTGGGGATTTTAGTTGTTGTCAAGTTACAGAGTCATAGTTTTTTGTGGTATGTGTGTTTCTGACCTTTCTAAGTTTATTATTGCTTTGTTTTGAGTTAGGATACTGAAGAATCCGATTGAGTACATGCAGTCATTTTGTGACGCAGCTACTGAAGCTACCCGCAACATTAACCCAAATTACTTGAAGGAAGGAGAGCAAGTCCTTGTTGGATTTGAAGGTCATTTTGTTTCTCGCCGTGTCACGCCTAGAGAGCTTCTCTCTGAGTTTATTGGATCTTTGGTCAGTGTTGAGGGCATTGTCACCAAATGTAAGCTGTTTCCTTCAAATTTCTGCTTCCTTCTTGTTTGTCTTAAGAGTTAAAATCTTTTGACATATGTTTTGCTTTCAGGCTCTCTTGTGAGGCCAAAGGTTGTTAAAAGTGTACACTTTTGTCCATCAACTGGTGAATTTACCAACCGAGAATATCGAGACATAACGTCTCACGCGGGTTTACCCACTGGGTCTGTCTATCCAACAAGGGTAATTACTTGTGTTGGTTTTTGTTCATCTTCATTTATATCTGGAAGGTTCTGCTTGTTGCTGAATTTTGGTTTTCAGGATGATAATGGCAACTTATTGGTGACTGAGTATGGGCTGTGCAAATACAAAGATCACCAGACCTTGTCAATTCAAGAAGTGCCTGAAAATGCTGCTCCTGGTCAGCTTCCACGAAGCGTGGATGTCATAGCTGAGGATGACCTTGTTGACTCATGCAAGCCAGGAGATCGAGTAGCTATTATCGGCATTTACAAAGCTCTTCCGGGAAAAAGCAAGGGTAGTGTAAATGGAGTCTTTAGGTGCGTGTTCTTACACATCTCTAAGTCCAAGATGTTCTTTTCATTGCGGTAATCTTGACTAAGCTCTATCTGTGTAGGACTATTCTCATAGCCAATAATATTGCTCTGCTCAACAAAGAAGCAAATGCACCTATATACACCTCGCGAGACCTAAAGGAGATTAAAAAGATTGCAGCAAGAGATGATGCATTTGATCTCCTTGGTAGTTCTTTAGCACCTTCTATCTATGGGCACTCTTGGATAAAGAAAGCAGTAATCCTACTGATGCTTGGCGGTGTTGAAAAGAACCTCAAGAATGGAACCCACTTAAGAGGGTAAGTCTTTGCTTGAAAACAAATTTCAGTTTCTGTTCACTGGATCCTTTTTGTCTAACTGATTTTTTTTTCTTCACTTAGAAAATAAATTTTGTGAATTTGGTGCTTTTAGGGACATCAACATGATGATGGTTGGTGATCCATCTGTTGCCAAATCTCAACTTCTGAGAGCAATAATGAATATTGCACCGTTGGCTATATCAACCACAGGCCGTGGTTCTTCAGGTGTTGGACTAACTGCTGCTGTGACGTCTGACCAAGAAACAGGTATAGACACATGAAAGCCTGATTGAACATTTTTCCCCTTTGAAACGTGAAAAGAAATGTCAAAATGTTTTTTATTATGAAAATAAATTCGTTTCTTATCAGGGGAACGAAGACTAGAGGCTGGTGCAATGGTTCTCGCTGATAGAGGTGTTGTGTGCATTGACGAGTTTGATAAGATGAACGACCAGGACCGAGTTGCTATACACGAAGTGATGGAGCAACAAACCGTAACGATTGCCAAAGCTGGTATCCATGCATCACTGAATGCTAGATGTAGTGTGGTTGCAGCAGCAAATCCCATATACGGAACTGTAAGTTAGCACAGAACTACTCCGAATCTGTTGACTCTAGAGACTAGTATCCCTTGTCCTAATATCATACTCTTGCGCCTGCAGTATGACAGATCACTGACTCCAACAAAAAACATTGGACTTCCAGACTCTCTGCTATCTCGTTTTGATCTGCTCTTTATTGTGTTGGATCAAATGGATGCTGGTATCGACAGTCTGATATCAGAACATGTCTTGCGCATGCATCGTTACAAAAACGATAGAGGTAGGCTACAAATCATGCTTCTCCGGTGTACTAAACTTTTTACAACCCATGTCTTGAAACGTAAACTGTTTTTTGAGTGAACCACAGGTGAGGCAGGACCAGATGGAAGCTTGCCATACGCTAGAGAGGAAGATGGTGAAAGTGAAGTGTTTGTTAAGTATAACCGAATGCTTCATGGGAAGAAGAAGAGAAGAGGCCAAACGAACGAGAAAACTCTTACGATTAAGTTCCTGAAGAAATACATTCACTATGCCAAGCACCGTATTGAGCCAAAGCTCACTGATGAAGTGAGACACTGAACTTAAACATTCAGATTTTACTGTAGCTGATATCTGATCAGCTTTGCCTCTAAAATCTCTCTCTTGTTATTGAATTTTCAGGCATCTGAACGCATTGCAGAAGCATATGCAGATCTCAGAAATGCAGGTTCTGATACTAAGGTAATTCATTTCTTAACATAACATTGGATTGTGTTTTTGTGTTAGGAAACTTGTATTTGACATGGCCTTCGACATTTCTGCAGACTGGAGGTACGCTCCCGATAACAGCAAGAACTCTAGAGACAATAATCCGTCTTGCCACGGCACATGCTAAACTGAAGTTAAGCAGAGAGGTAACAAACAAACTGAAAATCTTTTGTTTTACCCTCCTTGTCGTAAATGATGTTTACTAAAGATTCACTCTTTAAATCATTATCTTTGTTTGGAAAGGTTACTAAAGTCGACGCAGAGGCTGCCTTGAAGCTTATGAACTTTGCAATATATCATCAAGAATTGACAGAGATGGATGAACGTGAGCAAGAAGAACGTCAAAGAGAACAATCAGAACAAGAAAGAGCACCAAGTGGTGGTCATAGAGGCAACCAACGCAGCACTAATGATACTGGAGAAGAGAATGGATCTGCAAATGTTGAAACGTAATTAATCAGCTTTAATCTCCTCCATTGAAACCCATATCACAGCTATCTTAACGTTAATACAATGTTCTTTTTCTTTTCGCCGGTACATCCAGTGAAAGAGCAGATCCAATGGAAGTAGACGACCCTCCTGCGGAGCAATTCAGTGGCACGGTCTCTGCAGCAAGGATTGAAGCATTTGAGCGAGTGTTTGGGCAGCACATGAGGACACATAGGCTCGAAGACATTTCTATTGCGGATATAGAGACGGTAGTCAACAACAATGGAGTTGGAGCTTCTCGTTACTCTGCAGATGAGATTATGGCTCTATTAGAGGTACATAAACAAATTAAGAAAAATATTTCTGATTTTTTTGCTTTAATTGATCAAATTTCCTCCATGACTTACCATATTGTGGATTTATGCAGAAACTGCAAGATGATAACAAAGTGATGATCAGCGATGGGAAAGTTCATATCATATGATCCATCATGAAAAAAAAGGCTTTTATATTGTTTGTAACTGTCACTTGGATTATCATATCATCATTGAGAGCTGTTTTACATGGTCATGTTGGTACATGGACTATAGAAAGTCCATGTACCATGATTTGTGAGCTGATTGTGAGCTGATTGATATAACATGTTTATCGTTTCTCTTTTCACCGTTTGTCCCTCGTTTCGTAATCTTCAGGAAGGTCATCATTCTGTTCTCATTGTGTGTTTGAAGGAAAAA